CTGATATAGTCCGTGTTAATGGAATAAGTGAGTTTTGTAACATTATCCAAGTGGAATTAAGAATCAAGTTGATCATTATTGTCGTAATGAAAGTGAAGTTGATTATGGTGCATTGAAAGAGAATGGGAATGCTCAGAAGATCGTTGACGAAAAATAGATTTTGTGAAAAAAGGAAAGATAATATGTTGAGAACAATAACGATGATAATATAGTAGTGGTATTTTAAATAAACAATAATAAAGAAGAATGTGAGAATGGAGAATATAGAAAGGGTGATGATTGGTAAAAATATATATATATATATATATATATATAATAGGAACGTGTCACACGAACGATGAGGTAATTGAAAATTTTACCCGTGTTGTGCGTTCAACTAGACCGAAAGATCGAACTTGTCGACGAAACACCCATTGATGAAAATGTTGAGAATGGACCGAATAAACATCTGAAATGAAGTAATAAAGGAGAGAGGTACGAGAAAAGGAATGCTATCTGTGACCATTTACGGTTTGGGCCGAGAATAATATCGAGATTTGAGGCTCAGAATGTTAAAGACTTGTGTAATATAAATCGAACATCAGGATCAAACCTTGGGTTTTTTAAATTGTTGTACCTGGATCAATTGACTGGGTGTGATGATGAAAACTTGGAAAGCATGATCTTTAGATGTTGTTTTGAAAGGTTAAAGCTTGGAGAGTGAATGTTTAAACGTTATTAGGTGCGAATTCAGTGAAAAAAAAAGAATTCCTTAGTTCTTGCCGTGTAGGTTTTAATATCCGGCGATATGATTAGACGAGCCATATCCCGTGACGTCATAATTGCGTGATCGACGATATAATGCGATGCATAAAATTAATTTAAAGTCTAATACATGTAGCCTAAAGCATGTAATTTGATCAATCAATGTAAGATATATAAGTGTAACGATCCCTTAGGGGGCTACGACATAAGTTCCTATTGGTAATAAACATTTTTAGCGAATAACAGTGTACTATCGTCGTGGTCATCGCTGCGTCGTAGTCGTCGCCGTGTCGTAGTCGTCATAGCGGTGGTAGTATCCGAACGATGCTCCCGTCGAAGGAGCTAGTGAATCTCTAAGAGGAATTCGATCAGAACTACCGTATACTAGAAACGTACACAACATGTGTCCACTTGTTTTTGGACTTTATGTTATCGGATCAAAAGTTTCGAAGGACAGAGTTGGGATCGAATATTGGAATCATTGTTATTGAATTAGTCATTTTATATTGCCAAATTGTGTTACATTTACATTATTTATTGTAAAAGTTCTATTCAATTAATTGTACTATATATTCCTATAATATGTCAATTGGTATGATTTAGGGTGTTCTCAAGCGCCTCGCTCAATGGATCAGAGGCAAATTTTTATTTAGTCGGAAATTAAAGAATTAAATCAAGTGAGTTACCATGTCGAATTAGCGAGATATATACCATCATTTTTTTTCAAAAATTTACCAATGATGGGTTGCTCAAGCATTATTACTTTTAATTTTTTACATATCAAACATAATAAACAATGAATTCTCAACAAATTTCTAACCGATATGAAAAAAAATAGGCACTTTATTTGTAATTCTCGGTGCTTTTAAACAAACATTCGATACCTTGATACTGTATAAACGTAATAAATATAATCCATCATTTAACAAACTGTAATGAATACGGCTATTCCGTTTTCAATTAATAAAATTAAAAAATATTAATATTTGCAAGAAAAAAACTTTTTATTTCTTGTTGCTGTAATGCAACTTTCGCTAATGATTCCATAAATTGATTCTGTTGCAATTGCAAGAAAAGATTTAAATTGGCAAAATCATTAAAAGGAGAAAACGACGCAGCCGAAGTTATCTATAAATATCGTCGTTGATTGAGATGCTTGAGCGTCATCATGATTATTATTTATGATAATTGATTGATTGAGATACCAAAAGTTTGTCATGAAATAAATTTCAATCAAAATACATACCGGCAAATGAAATTGTAAAGAAAGTTTAAGAGATTTTAACCGAAGTAGTTTTATTAACTTACATCTCAGAGTCAAATTTTAATTCTACACAATTTTCAATTTACGCCTATTCGAATCTGAGATATGATATATATAACTTAATTTTATTTTAACTATAAAAAAATACATTTATCAAATATATACTATTTTTATTTATAATAATAACGATAGATAATTTCTTATTTCAATTAAAGAATTGGAATCATTTAACCGCATAAAAATTATTCTATAGATCCGAGCCAAATATGTAATATAAAATATGTTTTTATTCAGACATTAATCTTTTATCGTTATGCAACAATTTCTTTTTTAGATTACGTAACTTTTCTACACGTTTCTTATGATGATAGACGACAAAATTCAAGAACCCATGTTTGGTTAAGTCGATAAACCTTTTATTTTCTGGCATTTCTACGAATGTAACGCAACCATTTTTAATTTTTAATAATCCTCCATTATGTAAGTTGATGTTTCTAGAAAGTACAATTTTCACACCATTCTTGCCAATATTTTGATCGTTAGTATTCCGATTTATTTGAATTTTTAATTCGCCACCATGGTCTAATCTTGTTACCATCGGGTCATCTTTTTCTTTCGTATCATCATCTTTTTTATTCGTTATCTTGACTATCGAATGTGCGTACACTTGAATTCTTATAATGATAGTTTCATCATCTTGTTCTATAGTGTACTTATCATGTTGACAACGTCTTAAGATACTATGTTGTCTAAATTCTATCGTGCCATAATCATTACTAATTGTCATTTCATCTGTGCGTCTAAAAAAAAAGCCTTTAAATTTTCTATATAGAGTATCATTTATAAATCTTAGAATAATCGTTTTGTCTTCACGCTTATCACGTCTAACTTCACACTCATTATTTATAGTCAATGACTTGAAGTTTTTAGTTAAATCTTCTTCATAAACCATTTTATCGTATGTGAGTTTTATAATATCTTCAATGTTTGTGGATCTTTTGTTATCTTCATTGTTTGTGGATCTTTTGTTATCTTCATTGTTTGTGGATCTTTTGGTATCTTCGTTGTCTTCGTTATTTTCATAGTACTTTAAATTAATAAGCTTATTTCCTTCAACAGACAGTTGCATGACGTCTTTGTCTGAGGGCACTTCATATTGCAAGAAGAACTTATCATGATTTTCCTTCTTTTTTAATATTGCATACCAGTAATGAGTTGTCATTGCGTCTTCGAAAGTTTTATCTTCGATTTTTAAGTCGTTACTATTACCCTCTTCTGCGTTTACCTCATATTCACGATAAATTTTATCATCTACCTCATATTCAAGATAAATTTTATCATCTTTGATTTTTAATTTTGTATTGCCATCTAATCTTAACCTTTTTGATTTATTGATATCTTTATCAACCTCGATAATTTTGTAGTCGTCATCTTTCTTTTTATATTTACGTTCATTATTTGAATCATTATTTGAACCTTTAATAGACCAAGAACCATCTAGGTTTACCCTAGATAAATAGATGGTTCTTTTGCCTTTATTATTCAGTGCGTTACATTTTAGCACTCTTTTATTAACAAGGTAAACCTCTCCATTTTTAAATTTTAATTTCCAGTTACCATCCAGGTTAATATTGTCAGTATTTTTTTGTGCCTTTTTTATTTTTAATTTATCGTCTGTTTCGATCAATATCGATATGTCTTTGTCCGCAATATAATCATCATCATCATCTTCAACCTCGATTGGGATTTTTACAACGGAATTATCAACATGTGAATCTCTTCCATCATCTGAAACTTTTATACTTATTTTAACACTTCCATTAATACTTTTAAAATCTTTTGCCCTTTTACTGCCAAGTCGGAGTTGTTGAACTAATTTAATTTGGTTATCTTTGATGGATAATCTTGCTTTCCAGTAATTCCAGTCATTCTCCCATTTATTGTATCCTATTTTCCCTTCTCTATTGTCTTGTATTCTCCCTTTTCTATATAAGTCTATTTCCTCTTCATCATTAATTTTTAATGTCTCCAAATCCATTAATTTATCCATTGATTTATCTTTCTGATTTATTTTTTTGATTTCATCTTCAACAATGCTTAATGTTTTATTATACAATGTTTTTGGTTTTTCTTGATCTTTTTCTATATATTTAATTTTTCTACATATAATTTTAAATGAACTAGATTTTGATGTGAAATATTTCTGCTTTTTATTTACATATCCCACTAAAGAATTTGTCCATGTATAATATCCATCCGAAAAATTCATAAAGAGAAAAAATGCAAGAATTCTTGTCGGAAGATTACGTTTACATTTTAAATATTGAGCTTCTCGAATATTTTCTTTATAATCTATAATCCTGTGACAATGGCTCTCATCATCAACTTCCATTATATAATCATGAATTACTCTCTTATTAGAAAAAAATGCTGCTACAGCTCTTGATAAGACCATACCAACAAGAAAATTAAATAAACTATCAATTATTTCACGTGAACAAATATACGCATATGCGAAAAATACTTGAATTATTGATAAAAATAATGTTAAAAAGAAAACTCGAAAAGGAATAAAATTAATATGAGATTTAAATTTAATACAAGCATATCTAGCACGTTCAATTTGAACATGAACATCTTCATAACTATAACTTTTATGTTTCCAAACATAACAAGTTAAATAAATTGATAATAAAAGATAAGCAACATTAATGAAAAAACCTAAAGCGGTTGCATTAATAATATAATTTGTTTCATTTGGCATTGGGTTTAATCTCACAAAATAATCATAATATAGACCAAAAATATTAGTTGCCAAGATTGCAATTGCACAAAATAAATGTGCAAATGCTGTAAGAAATTTTAAATAAGATTTCTTATTTAATGATATATCATAACGATAATTAAAATCATGGATTATGGATAAAATTATCCATGAAAAAATAATCCAAATTGCAAATATAATGTACCCAAATTGTTTTCTAAATGCATGATTATTTAATCTTCCGCATATTTGACCAATAATATAAAATGGTATTACTGGTGAAAATCCAAAATATAATAATACTAAATCATCGAGGAAAAAAGTAAGTCGCCATCCAAAGGATGATCGGACACCATAAATTGCGATAGTGAATAAAATTCCACCATATGTTATAATTTGACCAAGTTGAAGTAAGGCTGTATTATAAATGCGAAATTCACTATAATCACCTGAAGGACACGAACCATTTTCATGAGGATATGCAAAGAAATACATGAAATAGGTATCATTATCATCAGCGAAAGTGGCTGGTAAATTAATGATAGCGATGATAAATAGTAATAATAACGTATAATAGTAATTCATGATAATTTTTTAAATTTTGCAAAATCAATAACTAAAATATCTTTTATGAAATTGTGAATAAAAAATTTTATGTCTAGAGAACGACGTAAAGAACGACGTAGAGTGAAATTAAATTTTGAAATGCATTATTTTAAATAATTTTTTTTTTTTACTAGTTATTGTGTTTATTTATGAATCCGGATATAGATGTTAGAGTAGTTTTTTTATAATTTTATTTATCAAGTAAAGACCAGTTAGTACTCGTTTTATTATAATTAGGAAATATTTGATTTCAATGCGCTAATTTCCCATGACATATTACTAGCCATAACTCTAAATTTTTATTTTTTTTCACACGTATTAAATGTACGGTACAAGAAATCTAAAATTACAATGACCTTTATAAAAACTAATTACCATGTTTTTCACAATAACACCTGCGCGTTATTTTGGATTTGAGTGATCCTTGTTCACCCGGGTGATACAAGAAATTTTACGAACGGGTCACTCGGGGCAGGATTTAATTTTACAAATAAACAAGTGCAAATTTAGTTAACTCAAATTTAAGGTTAGGGCGTTGACATTAGAAGTTATAGTCATACTGTTGCCCATTGTCATCAATTGCGCCAAATTTAATATAAAGATCCAAAAGATTTCGAATGAATCTAAAATACGCGAAACTTTTTTTTAATTTTCTCAAGAATAAAAACCAACCTTTATTCCAATTTTATGGCATGACGCAAATTTTTGTACAGATTTTATAAATCATATATGGTAAATGTGGGTATTATGACGAATGTGGGTAAAATGACGAATTTAACACATCACAAGAAAACAGAATTTTTTATTAAAAATCAAATTTAATCAACTAAATGAAGTTGTTTGAAATGCCATCTTTTTACTCAGTGATGGGACTTAACGGGTTAGAAATTCAGGCTGCATAATTGTCGCGTGATGCATTATCGTTTTGTTAAAACAAAAATTATAGATTTACTTTTTATACTATGATGTGGCTATAATTAAGCAGCCTAAATTTCTAACCCCAGTAAGCCCCATCACTTACCCTCAAATTTTGGCGCATTACGGGATAACTTCTTATACGTAATTTCAATTTTTTTTTTGTCATACGCATTGGCGCAGAAATTAATTTTTTTATGCGCCAAAACGAAAAGCTTATAAATAAAGTTATCGATAATGCACCAAAATTTGAGGGAAGTATTTGAACAACCTTACTCAGTAAAGTTCGATTTACTTAGTAAAAAAAAAAAAAGGTTTAACTAAAAATTGTTGAGATAAAGGTCACATGAAAAAATTATAAAAAAAAGGTTCGTCATTTTGCCCTTGCAAATTAAAAAGCGTAGCCTTCTAAGCAACATCTCATGATTGATATATTATGAATTGCAAAGAAAGTTAAAATCTAAATAAATTTAAAAAAAAATACCAAAAAACAAATTTCTATCAGACTTTTTTTTATTTGTAAAAAGTGCAATTTCGTCATAATACCCAAACTTACGTCAATTTTATAAATTCCATAGTAAATTGTACGAATTTTCTCAACTTTAACTGCTTATAACTTTAATATTTAAGCCTTTAAAAAATTTTACACGATAAATATAAAGTTGTTATTTTTAGAGGTTGGAACCGGGATTAATAATTCGGGTTTATCACGTGAATTTTGTGATATTTAGAATTCATTAATTTAATTGGATTATATTCCAACATATCACAAAATTCACAAAATTTATGTGATAAACTCGAATTATTAAACCTGGTTCCAACTTCTGGTTATTATCGGGTATTTTTTTAAATTCTATAGTTATAAAATAAACATCACTTGATGAGAAATGACTTGATGCACCATATGTAAAATTGCGTTCTAAACATCTTTATTTAATACACCAAGGTCGATTTAAACACTAGTTTTTGAGCTATTTTCGACTGGTACTTTATTGAAATCGATTATTTAAGAAATATGTGCTACTTGACTATACGTAACATTAATGCTATCTTTATAGAGATGATGTTTTGTTTAACATCTGCCGGCATGATCGCGCAGGACGCCATATGGCGTTGGATATTTCATATACTAATTAATGTAAGGTGCAGTAATAACGACATTGTGTAAAATCTCATGCATAAAATTGATCGACAAAATTGATGCAATCAAAAAATTGATTCAATTCATGCAATTCATGTTAACGATTTTTTCTACGGTGCAAATTTTCTAATCGCATCAAATATATTAAATGTTGCGCCACTAAGCACATAATTCATTAAGGAAATAATATTGATGATTATAGTGTA